TCATGGCATAGGGCCTAGTTATTTGAGCAACTGCCTATCTTCCTTGGTGTCACCTCAAGTTGATAGGGTTGGCATGCTCCAGGTTCCTTCAATTAAACAATCTCATCTATCAGGATCCAGGAAACTTGTCCTCCCTGCTATATCTGCCTCTTGAATGAGGATCCTTTCAAGATCTGGATGGTTCCAACCCTTATAACAGCCTTATAGCATTCCAAAGGGCCTTGAAAACCTTGCCCTTCTCCTAGGCCTTGTAGTAGGACAGTTGATCCCTCTTTGTTGGATGATGGTGGGATGGTGGTGGGATGTTATAGGATTTGGCAGATTCATCATCTTACTTTTCTTTTTCCTTTCCCTTTCCCTTTCCCTTTCCCTTTTTCTTTGTCAGAATCTGATTCTGTTTATTTTTGTTATATTGTTTCTATGTTATTTTGATACCCTATGATCACCCAGATTCATTTGGACAGCATTAAAATCAATTTTTATTATGGTCACAGACCAGCAAGATAGCCGCATCATGTCAAATATATCATACATAAAAATAAATAAATCCATCATGTGTTTTTGCTGAAGTTCTCTTGTTCTCCTTGCATCAACAGGAGACGAAGCATTCATTCCTATTTGTGGCATTTGTGCCTTTTTCAGAAGGATTTTGCTTTTGAGAAAAAAATTACAAAATGATAACAAATGCTAAAGATTGGAATTAAATCTTAGCCTTATATTTCTATTTTTGGAATGGATTCTTTTCTGCCATCTTCCTCTCAGAGCTAAGTCAAAAAAAAATTAATGAATTTGATACCTGAGAGCCAACAAAAATGATTGCCTCCAGTACCAATGCTGATAAACTCTTCTTGTTTCCAGAGATGGCCTAAGGACTTTTAATGTCTGAGATGTTTGTTCATGAACAATTCAACTAACTGAAAGATAATTATAAAAGATGAAGAGAGAAAGAATCAGTCTCTCCTATCAAAGAACTTCTTCCTGTGGCAGAGCAATATTGTCAAGCACTTGTCTAGACATATGTAAAACAGCTTTGTCTTTTCCTATATAGCTGCTAACGAATCCTGAAAAAAGTAGGGTTGCTTTAAAAAGTTGCAGTTGATTGCATCCCTGGAAGCATTTTTTTCTGGTTTAGGAAAAGAGTTGTAGTCCAGGCTGCAAAACAATAATTTGGGAAACTCTTCCCTCACTCTGCTTTCTGCCACCTGAATTAAGAACCCTCTAGTATTTCACTCTTATCAGCAAGTGCAATCTTAATCCTTCTAGCAGCTTCATATCCCCTGTGAAATATTATTCTTGAGCTTGATTTTCCCTGCTTACATAGGGAGAACACATCAGATTCTTTTCTTAACCCATTTCTGACATTGGGTTTCAAGTGAGATATTACTTTCTTAACCCTATGCACGTATATAGAAGTCTTAAGATTATTCCCTCCAACCATGGTTAGAACTGTTGAGAAAAAACATCTGCCTGCAAAACTGCTCTATCATGCTTTAATCAAATCTCGTAGTAGAAATGTATACATACATGTATATGAACAGCTTGATGGCCAGACATCTTTTCCTTCCTATCAACAATTCAGAATTTTTTTAGTAAAAAAAAAAAATTGAATTGAAAACACAGAAACATGGGCAATAGAACTACCGATTTAGTCTTTCCTCCTTCTATATAGAATGGGAGCAAAGGGATTTCTTTTACTTGATATTTATATTTCAGGTGCAAAGACTGACAATTTTTTAAACTGGAGGAAGCATCAGGTTGGTTTATAGTGTTCTCTGTTCATTATGTAATAAGATCAGCAAGCATGAGGTGATCACATAGTAGAGCAAATAAAGTGCTCTGAAGGTTTGGGAGTAGAAACAGTGCCAAGTGGAAATGTCCAAGCCATCTCAAGCTGATGAGGAAGAAAAAGCTAAGGGGAAAAAGGGGAAGTACTATGGAGAAAGAAAGAAAGCCAACAAAAGCTCAGAATTGCTGCCTTTGTGGATGTTGCACAGGAGAGAGAAGCAATAGGTTGAGATTTCCAGTTAGACGGGGGAAGGAGTGATTTGCTGGCTCAGCTGTGCTCTCCTAGTTCCCTAGGGAACTTGATGTTCTTCAGCTTCCATTTCAATACAGTTCTTTGGCTCTTTGACAGCTCTTTGGCTCTGCTATACCCTATGGCCTTTCAGAATAATATCTGTATGAAACAACTCGTATCCAGAACTTTAGGAAATAAGAGTCAGTTTTGGTCAGCTGTTGCCTATTCCCTTTTAAAACATGATGGGAAGGGAACCACAACTAAGCAAAATGAATAGATGATAGTTAACCATAGAAAATCACAGTCATTGAATCATGATAATATAACCTTTCCAAATCATTCCTTACCTTTCAGCAGTTGTATGGACACAAGCCACAGACTTCAAAACTTCACAGTTTTTCATATGGGGTTTATCTCCACTTCAAGGAAGTTTGCTTATTTAGGCCTTGTTGAACTGGATGCATGAGAACCTCATATTGCTCTTGTAATTTTTTCAGTTTTTAAATTAAACTTGGATACAGTAGCATTGTATTCCAATAGCTTGTCTGGTTATTATTATTTTTTGCACAAATGTTTACTCAAATGTCATCAATTTACTACAGAGTAAAGATTGGAAGAGTATGTTCATAACTTATAATTCTTCTTAATATAAGTACAGTTAGAAAGAAAATAAGCTACCCTTCCTGATTGATGGTTTTATATTTGATGTTTAATTCTAGTTTCAAATCATCAGCCTCTACAATTGAGTAGTGCTCATTTCTTTAATTGTTCAACAGTTTTCAAATTATTGGGGGGAGAGGGGTTGGGGTTTTTTTGAGCAATCTTAATAGTTATTTAGAATTCAAATTGTTATTTAGAATTCAATAATTAAATCCTTCTAGGCAAAGAAGGATTTAATATATTAAGCTGATTTGCTGGTTCTTTAATCAATTAGAAAAAAAATCCAGAGTTTCGTGAAAAGATTAACATGAATTTATTAAACCTCTTTATAATTTCTCCTGCCTATGTAGAATTCATCAAATTTTCTAGAAATTTTACGATAATCGAACTACATATCAGCAGCTTGATATTAAAACCAAGGACTCTGTAGAGTAGATTAAAAAAGTAATCAATTTTTAACATGTGGCAAATAATATGGCCATTACCTGAAGTGAGTATATATATTTTAAAAATTCTTTCTAAGCTAAACCCATCTAATTGTTTTATTAGATAACTTCATTAGTAAATTCTGGGAATGAAATGAGGCAAAATATATCTTGATTTCAGGAAAGAACTTGACAAAGACTAACTTTCTGCTTAGCAAACTAATATGGCATTGTCTAAGTGATATGACAAGTAATATATAACTGGCTTGAAAAATATTAGTCCTTATCAAACTAGTAGTAGGTATCAGGTGAGATGCCATATTGTTATTGCTTTGGTGCATGAGAAGGACTAGGAGTGACATGAAAGCAGTCTTCCAGTACTTAGAAGCTCTCACAGAGAAGAGGGAGTCAATATATTATCCAAAGCACCTGAGAGCAGGACAGGAACTAAGTAATGGAATATCATTAAAGAGAGATACAACCTACTACTAAGAAGAAATTTTCTGACAGTGAGAATTAATTAGTGGAATGACTTCCCTCCAGAAATTTTGAGTACTTCATCACTGAATGTTTCCAAGAACAGATTGGACAACCATCGGTCTGGAATGTTTAAGATCTCCTGCTCAAGCAGGAGATTGGACTAGAAGATTTCCAAAGTTCCTTTCACCTTGTTATTCTATGCAAGATGTATTAAATGAAACAAAATTTTGATATTTTTTTTTAAAAAAATATATAGAAGATAAAATAAATGAATACAATTCATGATCTTGAGAAATTGACCTGGAAATTACAAAATGAACATTCAACAAATAAATGTAAAGTTCTTCCTTTATCAAACAGAATCCAATGTAGAGATATTGAATGAGGATTAACAAAGTATGTGGACAAGATTTTGAAATAGTAGCTGATTACAAACTGAATATATATCAGTAGTTGGATGTGGCTGCCAAATAGAGAAATAGCATCTGAGCATCTTTTAGGAAAGATTTAGATAACTTGAACTGATTCAGAGAAGGGGGTTAAGGATGGGTAGGAAATATGACACTAAGTTCTATAAGGATGTATGTATGAAATGCAAAATATATTGTTTTGAAAAAACCTGAATGGGGAAACTGCACCCTTCAGTACCCAAAAGAATGTTACACAGAAGACCTATTCTTTATCAATACAGTCCACATATCCCAGAATAATGGATTTACATTATAGGAAACAAATTTTGGTTTGGGGGAAAAAAATCTAATAATAAAACAATAGAATTCATTATCTAGATGGTGGGCTCCTCTTTATTGGATGTCTTTAAGCAAAGGCTGGGTAACTATCTGGATGATTTAATTTGAATTACTACATGAAAAATGTTGTCTAAATTGCCCCTTCCCATCCCATGATTCTAGGTTTTAGCTTCCTTACCAAAGCAAACATTTTTTTCCCAGATCAACCATACTATTAAAGATAAGTCTTCTAAATATTATTCTTGTGTTTTAAGTTTTATTTTAACTTCACTTTCCAATTCTACATACTATATGATGCTTATAAATGTTCAAATGGTGAGCATACAGTACCAAAGGCCTAAAATCCCCCTCCCCTTTTTTTTTTTTACAAAAAAGATGGTTATCTTACAATGTAGAAGAAAACAAACTCACAGATGCTAATTAAAGTGTTTGGTTTTTGTTTATTTTAGAGTGGAATCGCTCTAAGCACTTAAATGAAAAATTCCTTTTACATTCTTCCAAATCTGAAAACACAATATCAAGAGTTTGCCTCCCTATTATTCTGTCTTCTATTTTACCTCTGAATAGCGATGCCAGTCTCTTTCATAGAAGCAATGTCTGTTATGATTCTTCATCTTGTGCTGCTGACCACCTTACAACCTAGCATCCTCTTTACCTTCTTTATTGCAGCTGCATATGGGGCTGAAGGCTTTAAGGATTTTCACACCATCATCCCCAAATCTTTTTCTCGTAAGTATTCTGTGGGCATGATGACCAGATATTGCTTAACTTTTTCATCCGTGCATGTAACTTCTGTCACTCATGTATTTCTTTTTGTCTCTGTTTTTTTTTGTTCTTGCCTTTGTCCTTTAACTTTTACCTCCTAGTATTTTTTTCAAGCTTACAAATAATGTTAGTGTTACACATACATCAGTTAGCTTAGAGAAAAGCCTAATTTATTTACATAATAAAGGAAAATTCCTAGTATATGACTGGCTATAGAGACATATGAAAAAATACCACTTATATCAAGAGAGAACTAAATGCTTAGTAGCATCTATTCGTAGGGCCCTGTAACCATTTAAATAAAACAAGGACTTTGATATTTACTTTTCTACATACAGAAGTGCATGGCTCATTGGTTAAGATTCGTTTGTTTGTTTGTTTGTTTGTTTGTTTGTTTGTTTGATTGATTGATAAAATAATTCCTATGCCTTGATTTCAGATTTCATAATGATAAGAAAAAAATTGAGAAATAAGGCAATGGTTGCTTGTCTAGGGCCCAGAAACTGCAAATCAGGTCTGAAAATGGAGGACTAGGCAACATGATACAGTTATTATGTCAAAACTAGCAGTGGCTAAGTGGTAGAAGTGGTTATGAGATCAGACCATTCTGCTCAACACTGAAGTATTACAGACCTGGGGACACAATTTCAATGGCACCACTTACACGTGTAATACTCAGATTCAAGTGCTAGCTAAACTTTGTATTGTTAAAGCATTATGTACCATGACTGTGGGAAACTCTCATTCTAACATCATTGCCAGTTAATCAGAAGTGCTATACAAGTGGTCTGATTTGGCAGAAGGCTAATGGAATTTAAAATGTGTAATATTCCTCAATCCCTTCTGTTTGATCTGACTCATAAAAAATAATTCACCCATTGTCAATTATCTTTAATAACAATATCACTTTGACAGTAGGTGTGATAGTGGCTGGGATACTGTGTGTCTGCATTTTTTTAAATGCATATGATTAAGAGTTAATATCTTAGACCCGATTAAACAGGCTTTTGTAACACACATGTGCAATAGGACTGGGTGTTTTGTTAATATGATTTATTGGGTTAGGGATTTTCTGTCTTCACTGTGTTGGGGTGGTGCACTGAGGGAGCTCAACCAATCTCATTGTACATATGTTGTGCACTGACAATAAAAAAAATAGAATTGAATTAAAGCTCATAGCAGCTGATCCTTAAAAACATCTTTCAACAGTTGACTTCAAAGGAGCCTATATTATTTTCTGACCATTGCAGAGCACGTCTACATACAAGGAAGATTCACTGTGCTTAGGAACATTTACTCCCAGATAGAAAAAATATGTTTTGTTTTTAAAACTGTTTTAAAAACAGACTGAATGTGATCTACACTTAGTCACACTTTGAGTAGACACACTGAAATCAATAGACATCAATTAATCATGATTTATTTACCCCATTGATTCAATGGATTAATTCTGGCTCCAATTAATTATATATTTTCAACTATCTAGTTTTGGTATAAATAGCAGAATGAATAGATGGGGTATTTTAAGTTCTACCAAACATGGAGAGGTTGACAAAATTTACATGTAGCAGTATCATAGTATGATCACAGGAAAATCATTTTTATTTCCCAAATATTATTCATGACCTGTATAATTTTATGGTAGAAAATTCACTTTTAATACACAAGAAATCAGCCAAAATTATGAAGAAGTAATGTTCCATTTTTTACTATCCATTCATAACCCAAATACCTCACATTTGTCTATATGGTCTGAAGAGCTGAAAACAAATTCTGATTAATATTTTGTTATAGATTATGCATCTAAAAAGAAATTGTTGTTTCTTGGTCAATCACCTGGAAGAATATAGGTGGTCGTCAATTACAGATTGCCTTCCTTGTTCAGCAATTGTTCTAAGTTACAAAAGCACAGAAATAGTAGGTTTCCTAATGGTTGCAACTATTGCTGTGTCCCTGTAGTCACGTGACCATAATTTAAGTGCTTTGCAACTGGTGCACATTTACAATGGTTGCAGTGTCCCACAATCCTATAATCACCATTTCTGACCTTCACACTTAGGTCCTAACAAGCAGAAAATCTGGCAGGTTGCTGCAATTTGCAGTCCTAGGATTCATGCTATGGTTATTAAGCGTTGGTTTTGTTGCTTAACAACAGCGAAACTGATTTTGTAAGTCTGACGTGATCATGTGATATTTCACTTAACGATTGTGTTATTTACCAATGAAATTGCTGGACACAGTTGCAGTTGGTAGGTGAGCATTATTAAAGGAATAAAATCCTACCTACATGAAGCATATTACATATTGATGGGAATGACATGTTTGTATCCATTCCAATATAAAAGATTTCTAAAATCTTTGGAATGATTTATACCTTTGTAGATAAATAAATGAAAATAAGCCTCTTTAGACACAGAAAGATGGCATGTCAGAAATACAATTTTTAACTTTATTTCTTCTTGATTGTTCTGTTCAGAATTGTTCAGAATTGTTCTGTTTTTCAAATATGAAAGGATTTCCACTTATATTTCCAGTTAATTTTCTTACAATTAAGAGAAATGGATAGAATTGGAATGAGCAATCTGCAGCCTGGATTACATGTGCCCCATGTTGCACTGTCAAAATTCATTTTTAGTGAACAATTTTAGCAACTAATAAACATTCTAAAGAAGTTAGGTGGTTGAGAAATATGAAGTATAAATAAATATACAATAATAAATAGAGTCATAGTAAAACAAAATGCTCAAAGTAAAAGAAGAAAAAAATGAAAATGTTTGGGCTCTATTTCCTGATGATCTTAGGTTTTCCCTTGTGGCCTTAGTAGCCCAAACACTTTTTTTTAAAGTGCACCATCCAAGCCAGCATCAATTTCCATCTGCTAGGTCAAATATAGAAAAACAGCTTTTTCTTTCTGTTTTCATTCCCTAGATCCCTGACTTCTAACTTTTTCCTTTATTCTGAGTTCCAATAAGTCAGGGCACCACTGTAGTATGTGCTACTGCTATGGTGAACACAAAATTTATTGGACAGAAAACGACAGAATCTCACAAGATTTCATGGCTCCAACCTGAATTCTTGACAGATTTTGAGCAAGAACAGTTATATCATTCTAGAGTTGGCAATCTGTCAAAATGAGGACCATTATTAAAAATAGTTTATATTTTGACACCTGCTCCAGTGATTGTCTAGGGCACAGGTAGAACTATGGCTCCGGACAAGTCATATCTTTCTTCAGATATGTGAATTTGGACATACCTCACTAAGTATATTCTATTGGCTCCTTTGTCATACATAGTTTCTGCTAGGTTGCTTCAAGGTTTAACAAGGCTTTGGCAATCCAAATCTATGGCAAATGAGCTAGGAAAGGGCTTGATAGATTGGTCTTTTTTATCCAGTCACATATCAGTCAGTCTTTTATTACGGTAAATGAGCAGAAAGTAATACAGAAAAACATAAAGGTGAAAACTTACCAGGTGAAAGAAAACAAAATATTATCAAATAACATTTGGTACAAAATAAAATAATAAGGTAATAAACAACCAATAATAGTAAATGTAATTGATGGCGACAAATATTACATCAATAAAACAAAATTTGGCCACATTCTCCAATCAAGTGTGCCAACATGATCATATATTAAAGAGCTATTGTGGCTGCCAGAAACATTGATAATTTCACTGGTTTGCACATTATATTTATATGAGGTTTGGGCATGATATGAAACTTAGAGTTATAAATGTAAATATTTTAATATTGTATATGTATTTTAAATAAGTCCATTCCGCCCATGTAAGTACATTAGTAACTTGTCACTTAATTATATTGTTAGTGTGTTATTGAGAAATGCTTTCCTTTATGCTGTTTCTTTCCCACAATGATTTTGATTGGTTTATTTTTAAAAAAACCCCACTGAGTGGCATCCTCTATTGTTTCTTTCAGCCAGTAATATTAAAGTAGAGACACAGAGTGATGAAGAGAATGGGCATGCCTGTGAAATGAATGGGGAAGAATGTGCGGAGGATTTACGAATGCTTGATGCCTCTGGAGACAAAATGAATGGCTCACACAGTGGCAGCAAAGCCATGTCAGGAGTTGGAGGCATTCGACTCCCTAACGGAAAGCTAAAGTGTGATGTCTGTGGGATAATTTGCATCGGTCCCAATGTTCTTATGGTTCACAAGAGAAGCCACACTGGTAAGGTCTAGCAGAGTTTTTTTTTATTTTAGCTACTAGAGATTTGTATTCGAATTAATCCAGTACTGTGCTGCCCACTCCTATTCTGAAACTCAAGTTACCAGACAATACATTACTTAACACACCCAGACCATACTATACTATACTATACTATACTATACTATACTATACTATACTATACTATACTATACCAAGAATACCGATATCAGACCACCATGAAGAGGCCAAGGAGAATTATAGGTTAAATTTCTAATCCATTCCTTTTGTAAATCACATAGAATAATCAGGCTATGTCTTCTTCGAGCCAGGCCAGACATAAGATCAAAATAATAGCAGTTACCAAATTGAGAAATGATCTTTTTTCCCATTCATTCAATAACCATATTTTAGAAGCACAATAATAATTATCAGAATCAAATATCCAAATTGATTTTTTAACGAAGATTTAAATATAATGGGAATAAAGTCCTCTAAAGTTAATCACCCTGAGGTTCAGCCGGATAGTAATTTTAATCTTCCAGAAAGATTCTGCTTATCTGGAAAAAGATGGATGCAAGGAGTGAGTGGCAGATCTTAAACAGACAAATAGTTTGCTCTTGGTATTTGTATCAGTGTATCATTGTCAGCAGGCAAATTACCCCTCCCCCCATAATTCATATTGTGAATTATAAGGATTATGTGAACCCCATTGTACTTTCTGTTAGAAAAAAAACAAAGATTAGGTTTGCTTCCAATACCATAAACTATTGTTGTTTATACTACTAGTGCTTGGTTATGGACACATACAAACATGAATGTTGATAAAGACTTTGATAGAGCTTGGAATGTAAAAGGCAGGAACCAGGCAAAGATCTTAAATATAAGAATATACAGTATTCACTAGATTTCAACTAAACTATTCTTGTTTTTCAGCAAATCAAGGTTATTTCTCCTGAGTGATTTATAGCATCTTTAGAACAGCACTAAGCTGTCACTGCAGTTGCAATAATAATAATATGACCAACCATAACAATAATAAATTGATTATTTGGGCACAACAATGATAGGATGATTTTAAAACACACTATACTGTAAATTGCAAATGGGGACATAACCAGAGATGGCAGTTTTATAGGATGTTATTTTTATACTATTACCAGTTAAACAGTTTTAACAATGGTACTTCATTCTTTCCTTCTACATATATTTTTTACCTAAAAGGGTACTTTTTGGATTTCTTATATGACACATCAGTTTTTCTATGAGGAAGCATTGAACTTCTGCCATGCAGAGCCATGTGTGTTGCAGAAAAATCTGGGAAGTTCTAAAACGAATCCTTTTGCAGGATTGTTGGCCTGACCATACCTCCACAGGAATGCATAGAAAGTTGTTGTGTCCAACTGTTCCTGAATGTTAGATTCGCCATGCGTGCTTTATGTATTTAAGAAGTAGCCTTAAAACGCCTTGCATTATTTGCAAATTACAGACAGAAACAGATAATTCTGATTTTTGGTCATCTTTCCATCATTTCAATTTAACTCTACTTCACTGGGTGATCTGAATTTCCTTGATTTCACCAGCAATCCTCTGTCTCACCCAAGTTTCATGTTTCTGTTTTCTGATCCCCAAATTAGATAAATATCATTCTTGTCTCCAGGTTTTCATTTTTGACTCTAGGTTTTAGTCTATGAAATAATTACTTATCTGCTTATTTTCTCTTTTGTGACCCAATCTGTTTTGGTGCTGTTTTGACTTCATTCTGGTCATGGTTGTGTGTTTGAAAAGGCCACTGAATTAGAGGAGAAATTTTAACCTTGTAGGCAGGGGCATCCAGGCAAAGAGGCTTGATGTTGTTGATTCCTGTCACTATGCTTCAATGTGCTGGCAAAGCTAAATAGCTGTGCATGCTCAGGCATGGGGAGATATCTGGGGGTAGCCACAATGTAGCAGATAACCATTCCCTCATATCAAGCATCTCTTTTGAAGGTTGTGTAAATATCTAGTCCTAAGAAAGCAAAAATAATTATCTCCAGTCCTACTTTTTCAGTAGCATGTTAAAATTACACATGGCAATCTCATGGTTACATTTCAGCATGTGTCAGATAACAGTATGAGGTTTATAGTTTAAAATATTCATTGTAACTCCTGAGTATTCCATAAACTGCATGGGAGCATAAACATAATAAAAACAATTGCAACTTTCATGGTCCCACTTCTTCTGAAACAACTTTAAAGATCAAATCCATTGCACTGCATAACCTAGAGTTTTTTTCGTGCCTTTGAGTCAGTATTGACTCCTGGCAATTATCTGGGCTAAATTCCTTCAATTTTCTTAAGAAGGTTTTTCAGAAGAGATTTTATCTTTTCCTTCTTCCCAGAGCTAAGAGAGAGTGACTGGCCCAAGGTCCCCCAGATGGCTTCGTGCCCAAGGTGAGACTGGAACTCCGAGCCTTCCTGTTTCTAGCCTTGTGCCTTAACCACTAAAGCTTACTGACATAAGCATAGCAAATATAATGAATAACTGATATGAGTTAAAAGGTGTAACTCCAATCCCCAATATATATGCCAGATGTGGTTATTCAAAACAATACTTGATATCTTCTATGTAACTGTAAGTGAGATTATCTGAATTTTTTTCTCTTTTCAGAACAAAGGTCTTTCCATAAATGCCTGTCAGGTTAGAATACTGACACTTTCTGTAGTTGATTGAAATCATAGCACATAAGTTTTTCTTGACTGTAAATGGCAAGTAGCCTGCTTTTAATTAAAATGCTTCACACAAGCTTGTTTGCTGCATAAATTTGGAAAAATTAAAACAGATACTGTTAGAGGGGATCATATTATTTGTATGTTTCTTTATTCTAACAGTCCTAGGGAGTATCATAACCATAAAATGACTACTACCGTATTTGATTTAGTACTCTGGATCTGTCAAGGTCATAATAGTATCTATAAATATATTGATTTTAAATTCCACATTTTTCATCATTGATTTCACTGTTATTTCTGACTTTAGTAGCAAATGATCAGTAGATGACATCTAAATTGAAAAAAATATTTCAGAAAAGGCAGTGGCAAGGTATTTCCAAGAAAGTGTTCTTAATTTTCCCATAAAAGTCACCAAGAGGTGAGTTAACCTGGAAGTTGACTTCCTTTTAAAACAAACAAACTAACTAACTAACTAACTAACTAACAAACAAACGCAGTATTTAATATAGAAGACAAAGATTTTCTCCACATCAGAAAACAATCTTTGTAACTAAATTCCTCATTCTTTAAAATCTTATAGCACATTTTAAAATCATTCCACAGTTTAGTCTTTTGTTATGTCTTCTTAAAGTAAAATATCTAAAGTACAAAATCTGAATTCTATGTGGATATTGCTTAATTGCAATTTTAGGATTGATTTGCCAACTTCTTTTTTGGATACTGTTGCAACTTTCTAGCACTTTGCTTCAGTCTGTTTCTCCTATGCAACATGTGTTTTACTCTTTCACAATATACATCCTTAGTCAAAGGAAGACACTTTTTTTCAATATTCTACTTCTATCATTTTTTTTTCAAAACTTTTTTCAAATAATTTTCATATGAAGGCATATCAAAACAAAATGTTTCAGTTGCACAGAGAATTATCTTCCAGTTGGTATATGTCCCTACCACAGAAACTAGACTTCACAGTGCAAGCGATAATCATTCCTTCCTCAAAGTTTGCTGCTGTTTCCAATTTCCTGATTAGGGAAGCTGTTTTTTTCCGCTCAATCCTTTCCTTTGCCTTTAGTTTCTGTTAAAGTGCAGTATTACAAGCAAACTCTGCCTACAGCCTGGAGTTCGATCCTGATGGGGCTCAAGGTTGACTCCAGCCTTCTATCCTTCCAAGGTTGGTAAAATTAGGACCCAAGTTGTTGGGGGAAATATGCAAATAATTCTTTTACATCGTAAATTTTTTTTTAAATTTGATTTATATGCCGCCCTTCTCCGAAGACTCAGGGCGGCTTACAATGTGCTCAACAATAGCCTTCATCCTTTTGTATATTTATACAAAGTCAGCTTATTGCCCCCACAAACTGGGTCCTCATTTCACCTACCTTAGAAAGGATGGAAGGCTGAGTCAACCTTGAGCCTTGGCGAGATTCGAACCCTGCAGTAATTGCAGGCAGCTGGTCTTAATAACCAGCTTAATAACAGGGTGCCTTAAACCCCTGTACTACCAAGGCTCTAAATCACCTAGAGAGTTCTATAAAACACTCTCTGGTGGTGTGGTGTGGTATATAAATCTAAATGCTATTGCTATTCTAACAGACACTTGCAAGTTTATTAGTGAAGCTCTTCATGGAGTGAAGATACTATAAGTAATAAGGAAATCATAGATCATAGAATCATTGAAACATAGGGCTGGAAGAAACCTTGGAGTTCTTCTAATTCAACTACTTGCCCAAGGCAGAAGGATTGCATCCAGGAGAAATGGCAGTCCAATCTTTTCTTGAAAACCTCCAGCAATGAAGCAGCCACAATTCCAGGGGGCAAACTATGCCACTGATTCATTGTTCTTAAAGAAATTTCTTCTTAATTTCAGATTGAATTGCTCTATAAGCTTTCACCCATTGCTTCTTGTCCTGCCCTGAAACGCTTTGGAGATTAAGTCAAGCTTGTCTTCTTTGTGATAGCCCCTCAACTTTTGGAAGAAATGATTATGTTATTCTTAAGCCTTCTTTTCATTAGGCTAGACATACCTAGTTGCCTTAATCCTTCACCATACCATTTAGCCAGCACTCCCCTTATCATCTTTGTTGCTCTTCCCTGCACTCTTTCTAGGGTCTCAGCATCCTTTTTGTATCATGGTGACCAGAATGGATGAAGCATTCCATGTGTGGCCTCACTAATGTGGTATAAAGTAGTACTGTCACTTCTCATGATCTTGATGCTATCCCTCCACTGAGGCAGCCCAGGATTGTATTAGCTTTTTTGGTAGCATACTGCTTGCTGATACTTAAGTGATTGTCCACTAGGACACCTAGATCCCTTGTAGGGTTACAATTGTTGAGCCAGGTACCACCTATTCTATAACTATGCATTTGGTTTTTCACTTATTTGTACAGCATATGTTTTATATAGTAGTCACATGATTAATTTATTCATACCTGGGAATCCTGATGATGTTCACATTATGTTGCAACAGAAATACGGATGACATTTTCTGAAAAAAATGTTCATCCTCACTACACCTTTCCAAACAACATGGAATCCCTTTTAAGCATGACATTTTCACATAATTTTCTATGTTCTTTGCAGTAAGAGGGGCAATGTTATACATTTCCTCATTTAACTGCATCCATATTGAATTGTACAATATTCCAATTAAATGGGCTTTTGTATTTCTTCAGTTTCAATACATGTAGGGAGAATAATTTTAAAATTAGGACATTTGGCTCTTTATCCCTTTATTCCTTTCCAGAGAATTGTAGAAATAAATGGCAAGGAATGGAATCCCAGGCATGATTCTAGATTACTGACACTTTTTTTATTCATAATGATTGTGGATCTGAGAATTGTAGCAAAATGCCACCAATTACATTTTAAAAACCTTAAACCACATACTAAATTCTGAAGTCTCAGAATTTGAGAAAAATGTGACAAAAAGTAATATTTTTGATCAAATAACTTTAGCACAAACGTTCTATGGTACATGTTTATTACATTTATAGACGACCTTTTTAAATTAAATAAAGTATATCTCTTTTGGATCTCACAATAACTTATCAAGTTGATTGAGCTGAGGTATAGTTTGTCATGGAAGGATATATCATTGCCTTAATGGCCAAGAAATCAGTAAACATGAATTTTCTAAAAGAAACTTTCTGGCCAATGTATCACACTAGTTCTAAGAAAAAATTACCAAAACTACAGTATGGGAGAGGGAAGGAATATGACTTGCTAAACTTTAATATACTGCTCAGTAAAAATAATAAGATTAGAAGATGAAAAGAAAAAATGATGACAAAATGATTATTTTACCAGTTCAATATTTTAAATTCAAATTTTCCTTTGGAATAAATTTTCCTTTTGAAAAAACCATTTATTGGTTACATCTAACATATTTTGAAATGTTTTAGCTTATTAAGATGAACATATCTAGAAATATCTAGTAATTTCTCAGTTAGAAAAATGTTTAAACAGTAATTAGGAAGGATTATGGAAATGACCCTTCTTTTTGGATCTGTTTAGATGCAGATCGATTGCCTCATTGGATCTCTTACCTTTATTAGACAGTATCTAAGTGTTTATATCAAAATGGCATATTTCAGCATTTAATGGACACCTATAATGTTGGGCAGGAGTAATGATTAATAGAGAAGAGAAAGTGAGTTAGGTTGTGGTGAGGCAGGGGCACTTGTAATGTAGATGAACTTGTGGAATGAGGGAAAGGGGTGCTGCCTCGGAAACAATTGGACAAGAGAGGCAGAACAGTCAGAGAAAGAAATTTAGGAAAGAAACCTGCTCTAATGCATCAAGATGTTAAAAGTGGTGGCAGGAAGTTTGTACTTTCAGATTTGCAAGATTGGTGTCAGCTCTCCCAGGTAAACCAGACAGGAAATATGACTAGATGAGTTAGTTCAACTTTATTATGAGGCTACATTAATGGAAACGTGCAAATCTGAAAGTACAAACTTCCTGTCACCATTTTTAACTGCTCGATCCATTAGGAGGAGTCCTTCCTAAGCTTCTTTCTCTGACCATTATGGCACTGGTCTCTCTTGTCTGATTGTTTCCTAGGCAGCAACTCTTCCCCTTGTTCCTCAAGGTCATCCACACATTTTATTACAGCACCTCACTAAATTCCTCTACTACATAATAGCTGAATTACTATGAGGTTACACAAAGGATATGGGAGAAAGGAAAGGAAGTGTGATTTAATGTACTGTTGATCAGATTTGGCTAATAAAATGTAGAGAAAACAAATTTAAACTGGTCAAGAGGAAATATGAAATTTACCTTTGTTAAAGTTATTTTAATTCTGGCATGTTAACAAAATAAAGAATACAGGAGAATTGTTATAGATAAGCAGGATTGCTTGATTAGCTGCAAGACAATGTTTTCCAGCTTCCTTTAGTATCTACCAAGGCATCTATCTTGAATTGTGATTAATATGTAAATATTACCAAACTGTAATTAGCATACTGGTTTTTTAAAATGCTCAAGGTTGATTGGCAATGCTAGTAAAATATGGTCTAACCAAAAGAGCCTATCTCTCCAAAAGATACTTTTAATAATAAAACAATTCCATGTATAAATCCTAAAATGTGACTCAGACATTAATTACTCTGGACTGTTTTTTTTAAAAAAAAAAAAACAGTAGAAGAAGCAAAAGAAGCAAAGCAAGACAAACAAAACAAAAACAAACAAGCCTGCAGCCCATCTCTGATATAATATATCAGCAATGAGAGTTAGGAGTTCTGTGTGGAAGATGCTGTCTCCTTTGCTCTGTCTTAACTTCCTTTTTTTAGTCCATCCCACTCCACCCTTCCCCACCCTCTCACTCGCCCATCTGCCCCCACACTTTTCTGTCTCTTTCCTGATTTGGCTGCTTAGGGACAGTCAGGTAATGGAGAAGAAATTGAAAGGGAAAATACAGGGAAAATGTAAATGAAAAGAAGTTATTATAACTGTTATAATGAAGTGCCTTTCATTTAAATATAAGAATGTAACGCTGAAATGAACTTGTGATCCTGAAATGCATTTTTAATGAGTTTCCTTTTTATTTTGCTGCTTCAGTGGCATATTTTAAAGACCCTTTGAAAAAAGCCACATTAAAAAAACCCACCAAATGCCACAACATGCAAAATTGGATATTGGTTTATTCCAAAACTGCTGATCAGGAAGAGTGGCTCTTCAACACAAAATGTTGCAGTCACTTTATTTAAATGAGTTTGAATTTGCATTGTGATGTGCCATTCTGATTTAGAAAAAAAATTAGATTTTCAGATCAAATTGACCCAGCCAGTGAAGCATTAAGGAACTGGCAGGTTTAGTCTGAAAGGCTCATGTTATATCAAACCTGCAGCTGGTGGAAGTCACAGAGCGCCAGTTGGAAAACAACTTTCTCACTGAAATCATCCTCCTATTACCTTGTAAGAGTTTTGTTCTCACGTATTTTTCCCTCTCATTCTCCCTGTAGGCGAACGCCCCTTCCAGTGTAATCAGTGTGGGGCATCCTTTACTCAAAAGGGCAACCTTCTCCGCCACATAAAGTTACACTCCGGCGAAAAGCCCTTCAAGTGCCACTTGTGTAACTATGCTTGCCGTCGTAGAGATGCTCTTACGGGCCATCTGAGGACCCATTCCGGTAGGTTCCATGGTAGAAAATTCTAGAAAGATTTTGCTTGCTACTTGGCCAAACCAAATTATATCTACAAAATAATTTGAGACTAATGCTAATTTAGTTCAGGTTTCTTCTAACCTCAACTGAAACCAAGGGCCTAGACATTTGGTTAGTTGCATTTCAGTTAAATTTTCAGATAGACTTGCACAGAACAGAACAGAATAACAGACTTGGAAAAGAATATTTCCTATCAGTTTGTATGCAGACTAGCAGCCTGTATATTTTTTTTTCTCATGATCTTTTGCATATCTATGAGATCACAAGAGTTGTCAAGCATATAAAACAAACTATATATTTTATTCAGAACTATTTATTATTTTTAATAAATGCTTGACCATGTATTAGCACTGTAAAATAAATAAATCATAAATTTGCAAAGGCCATCCATAGATGAGCCCAACTGAAAATATAATTATAAGGTATAGGTTGTTCCTTATATTCTTATATATAGGAACAACGTGCCTCCAGAAGTTGTGGGTGCTCCAACACTAAAAGTTTTTAAGACAAAATTAGCCAACCATTAGTCTGATATGGTATAGGGTCTCCTGCTTGAGTAAGGGGTTGGACTAGAAGACCTCCAAAGTCTCTTCCAACTCTGTTATGCTGTTATTCATTTGGGGGAACATGGGTTTATTTGATAACTAAAAAAACCCATCCTAGATAGATCTGTTTTATAAAGATAGAAGCAATACTGGACAAAATTAGCAGCTAAAATTTATTCACTATTAGATATAAGCATTTAATATTACCTGCATAAAATGCAGCTTTGAGCCTTGGCATTTAAACAGTTTTCAACTCAAAATTTCCTGTTTTAGCTTTTCTTGTAGAAAAAATGCAAAATAACTTTTTAAAATGATTTTAAAAATCAGGCAGGTTTTATTCATTTTTAAATTTATTTGTATTAAACTCAAACCTTCAAACCAGAGTTGAGCAAATTCTAATTTGACAATTTTTTCCTCTTATTAGTGGCACTTTCCCCCCAGATATTTTGAGTCGATAGGCCTGTTTTCATTACAACATGACCGAATTAAATGTCCCAAAAATTGCAGTAAAAATTATCCTTTGCATTCTTCAGGATGGCTGTTGAGTCTGGCTGTTTGTACATATTTGATTCACATTATCTGGACTATATTATCCCAGATCTCTTTGAGTTTCTACAATAAATTCCATTTCCCCCTGCAGTTGGCAAACCTCATAAATGTGGATATTGTGGTCGGAGTTATAAGCAGCGAAGCTCTTTGGAAGAACATAAGGAGCGCTGCCACAACTATTTACAAACCATGAATCTTTCAGGTGGCCTCTATCCGGGTAAGAATACAAAGCAAAAGGCAAGATTAGCTTCATAATAAGATGCAATTATAAGGCCCAACTCTATGAGTAGTCCAGTGCTCTCTTGGAGCACTAACATTTTTAGGCACTGCAGAAAGCATTGAAAAGTTCAGGGTGGAAGGGATTGACCGAATTCCAAAGGCAAAGAGATTGAATGTGAGAAATAGTTATTGCCTCATGTCTGGTTACTATTTCTCAGTTGAGCAAGTGATTCCCTCCTGTTTTTCTTTGCCTTATCTTTGAATGGCTACTTTTCTGTTGCCTATTTTCTTTCCCTTGCTTACTTTCAAACAGCTACACCTTTTCGGAGAATTTTGTAGATGATTTTACTGTCAAGGCAACAAGAAGCTTTTTCATCTTTCTGTTTGCAGGTCCAATAGCATGGTCATCTATCTTCTCTGCCTTTCTCAATCAGCATTTCTCCTTTCCCCACCACTGGTTCCAATACCAATAGCTCTTTCAATATCAGATGCATGAAGTGAAATATGAAGTAGGCATATCTGGGAAACTTTCAAACATGAGATCCAATTCTTTTATCTTCCAAGAAAAAAAAAGTTCTTTGAGATGGAAATTATTTTAGAAGAAACATTCTTTCTCCTGTTTCAGCACTTGTTAATCAACCATTTCAGTGATTGTATATTATAAGGTACAAACACACACACATACACAAATGAATGCAGACATTCATTTGAAAGGAAGGGGACAATTCATGCTTATTCTATCTTTGTTGAATGCAATATGGACATGCATTAATGTGCATAGAGAAACAGATGAAAACCAGTTTCTTAAACTTGAGATAATTGTGGGTTATGAGCACTTCAGTTGCATATTAATTGTATATCGGAATGTATTAGATATGTGTGATATACAAGTCTTCTTATACACTTTTTTAAAAAGCACACATTCATTTTGCATTTAAAGCTAGAAGGCCCCCAAGGCTATTGCACATTTTCTGTAGACATTCTTTGGATTACTGGAAACACAATACCCAGCATTGCCATCAAACACTATGTGGCAAGTAAGGTTCTTTCAGGAAAAGATACAAATTGTGTTGAGTCCCTGTAACAAAACTATATAAAGCATTTTTGAAATACCTACAGTATTACTGTGTATGATGAAAAAGAATTAAAATTGTTTTGATTCTGTCAATGCATTTTAACTATTTGCTTGCTTATCATTATATTTCTGCTAACAAATTATATGACTCATGGCAGACTACAATAAAAGTTATCAAATCTCAAAAAACCCCAAATAAATAAAGAAGTAAATAGCAATTCACAAAGCAGAAGTAGCTCAATGAAAATAATATCATTCCCAACTGTATCAACTACTTCAGTTATCAGCACCATAAAAATGGGTAGTGTTCAGAGTCCTGCAGTTTTCACTTTGTAACATAATGCCAAAGCCTCTGCTAACTTAGTTTTCAGGTAGGCTGACCCATCATGTAGGAGTCACTAAGACCCCTTCAGTCAAGAAATAGATGATCAGCTCAGTTGAGATATATAATAGCACAGGATATGATGGTTGTATCAGGTGGAAGTCCTGAAGATATTTCTGCAGATTATCACATCAGTAGGTTATGTTGCTTTAGGCCTCATTTGCAGATGCCACATTTAATGTTTTTTGGACAATAGCAATAGCACTTATATACTGCTTCATAGTGCTTTAGAGCCCACTCTAAGTAGTTCAGAGAGTCAGCATACTGCCCCCAACAATTTCATTTTACCAACTTCAGAAGGATGCAAGGCTGAGTCAACCTGGAACCAGAATTGAACTCTTGCAGTGAGTTAGCCAGCAGTACTGCATTCTAACCACTGTGCCACCAAGGCTCTTTGTTTGTATAGCTGTCATATTTTCAGATAATCTAAAATTAATGTCTGTCAAAGTAATGCTGGAAAGCAGTTAGGATGCTTCTGACAGTTGATGTTGTGAGACCTTTCCATTTTTGCTAAGTGGGGAACATTTAAATACAGAAAATTAATTTTCACAAAGAGTTACTTTTGTTTCTAAATTGTAGTGAGCATCTATGAGACTGTGTGCTAAACTATTTATTTCAAAAACTATATATATATATATATATATATATATATATATATATATATATATATATATGTATGTATATATATGTATATATGTATATATGGAGTGTATTGTGACCAATCAAAATAATCCCAAACATGCAGGTATTTGAACTCACCATATCTATTAATTGGTCTATTAATTTTTCACAACAGGAAAAAACCAGACAAAATTGGGCTACATTTTTTTCACACAAATTTGTACTTCTAACTCAGTATAGATGATTGGAAATACTTTGTAGAGATCCAATAATAAAGTGATTGCACAAAACGTTTGAAAATAATTTGGAATCAGTTGACGTAAGTCCCACCTTTAAAAAGCTCAATGGAATGAACAGTGATTCAGGACAATCCTTTAATAGACAGCCAGTGATTTACAACCAAGTAGAACGTAGAAAACATTTAGGTGTTGGGATGATGCAAAGACATTATTTTGCACAAGAACAATGGATTTCAACACAGAACAGGAAATATGGGTGGTAGAGTAGAAGTAGTATTTGAATGCCACCAGGTAACCATAGTAAGAATAATGGATTGTCTAAACTGCAGTAAGTACTGTATCTCCTTTGCAAATATACAAAACAAATGGTTTGTATTAAAGAAACAAAAAATGAACTTCTGTTTCTCTTCTGGAATAACACTATGGACAGCTGCTTTACAATAAAACAGCAACTTGAAGGATCAGAAACTGTTTTGGGAGAGGAACAGAATTCCCTCCCACAGTGAAAGGGGGAAGTAGAAAATTATTAAAGATCATTGCTTCATTTAATTTATATTGAGTCTTCCTATTGATCTTCACTTCAAACTCAAACCTGGAGTTTCATAAGCCACCTCTAGCATACTCTAGCGAAAAGACAAGGAAGCTGTAGAATAACATCTCTAGAATTATGCTACAACTTCCTCATTTCTTAGGAACATAGCTAGAGAAAAATAAATATTTTTCATAGCAAAGTGAGGTGATCTTCCTTAATGAGGTTCTGCATTAGAATTCAATGAAATATTTTTCTCTGTTTCTCCAGGAGAAATGCTCAGTAAGGCCTCTTAGTTAAAGAGAAAACATCTATTTCGCTTGATTATTAGGTAGGACTTGTTACTCCCTCCTGGAGCCTGAGAGAGAAGAAACAGGGAGTTATCACATTTCCTTCCTCCATACTTTTGCTCTACGCCTGTCTTTTATATGATGTTTTTTAATAGCAGCTGTGCCCACTCACAAAGTCACTGGTTACCACTCTCACAAACTATGCTGCACTTTTGTTACTTGGATTTGCTTTTCAGAGAAGGGCTTTGTTTTAAAAAGTAGATGGGACAAAGAAATGGATGAAACCAGAAGGAAAAAGTAAATCTAAGCTGAACTGAATCTTAATTCAAATTAAATTAGGAATTATTCATATAATTATGTCCATATATTTAATACATTTCATATTCTCTTGCATTAAAAATGACAATGGATACTTGGATTTTGCATCTCTGTGTTAGAGAATTTAGTTATCCGATACCCCAAACTACCTTTCTTTTTGTTGCTGCTCAGCTTTAGAGCCTGACTGCCAGCAGAGTTTCAGAAAAAAATGGAAATAAGTGTGCCTTAAAACATCTGGTGTCCTTTAACACTTTTTTTCTAGTCATGAAAGAGGAAACCAGCCAAAGTGAAATGGCTGAAGACCTGTGTAAGATGGGATCAGAGCGCTCCCTTATGCTGGACAGACTAGCAAGTAACGTCGCCAAACGTAAGAGTTCTCTGCCTCAGAAATTTGTTGGTAAGAACTAAATGTTGCTCCCTCTTTTTCCTGGTTGGATTCTTTAGTTTTAATTGTATTGCTGTAAAACAATAGAAAGAGCAAAACAATTAACCAAAAATGTGGATTTCAAACTCCTCTTAGTAGTGGTCAAGTAAAAAAATATACAAAGATTTTGGATCAGTAAAATAGCACTGACATGATTGAAAGTGTCCAGAAAGTGTTTTGCCTCTGCCACTGATTTGACCTATGAGGGAAGCAAACAGTATGAACATAAAAATAGCTTGTTTATTTATTTATTTATAAAATTTATACGCCACCCATCTTGTATCCATCGACTCTGAGTGACTTGCAACATAAAAAATCTGGTAAAAAACATTAACTATCTTAGAGAAAAGATGGCAAAGAAGGGTGCTGGACACATGGGAGGGAGGTGGCGTTGAACTTGATTAACCAACCACCTCCAGTATGAAGCTTCGCACATAGGGAAAGATATGTAAGATGGGAAAATGATATCTGTACTTGGGGGGAATCTCTGCAATGCAAAAACTCTGCACATCGTCATCCTTAGCAATTGACCTAATCTGACATGGAATCAATTATTTACCAAGATTGAATCTATGTCTTTTCAAATAGAACAACTCCCACCTGCCTTGGCAACTGGTTTTGACTGAAGTTAATTCAACACCTTGAAGAGTCATGGATTCACCATTCCTAAAATTGTACTTCTGAGAAATTTGTAGTATTCTGTCTCTCTGAGAATACTAGAATAATTGAATGAGAAGTAAGGCCTTCTGACTTGGGCAAAAACATGTTTTCTGCTTTGATAGTTTTCTCCTATGTCTCCTATAATCTCCCCTTTTTTTAATGGAAGTCCAGTATGGGCTTTAGTTTAAAGTAACTCTACTGGTCCAGTGCTTATTCTGATTGATTCAACATTATCTTATCTCAACTAAAAGGAGAAAATTAATTAATAGCAATACATGAGGTATTGAGAAAATTCAGCTTTTGCAACCATATCTACTGATTATATCTAAAGTTTACCAACATAAATGTCTTGATTTTTATAATGTTGCATAGAAATGGAATGAACAATACCTATTGTGTTTAGTACACAGGATATTCATCCATATGCAGAATTTTTACTAACATTTGAAAATTGTTCACCCAGTTCACTATACCTAGCTTCATATCAGTGCTTCTGAAACAGCATGAAAACTATATAAAATTCATCAGTATAATGTTAACTTAATCCCACTTCAGTAGTAATTCAGATACACAACCAAAATGATCTCATAAAACTCTTAGTCTTGCAGCGCATAATTAGTAATAAGAGCATTACTAATTTCTGAAGAGAATGATATTGCCAGAAACATAAGCTTGGCATTCAGGAGATGTGACAATAGTGTTCCCTATTTCTGCCCAGAAACTTTTGTAATAAAGGCAGCCTCATCAGATGATCTTACATTGTAGATAAAAAATACTCACATACTTTCTTAAGTTCAGAAACATTATCTAAATAAAATGCCATGCATTTTTCCAGAATATTAAATCTATAAATATGGAACAAACAGGGATGTTCAATAACTTTGAGAAGAACACTTTTGGTTATGGATTAGTCCTGGCATGGGACTAGAGGAAGATGCAATTTTTATGCTGTCACTTCCTTATTGTCATAATAAGAAATCTTGCCAGCTATGAAGACTTAGAAGAGTAGTGTTTCCTGTCAGTTATTTACAGTGTGGTGTAAGAAGATAACAATAATGACAGCAAGAATTTAAGTAAGACCTAGATGTAGGCCCTAAAAATATGAAGGTTTTATCAAAATGACATCAAGTAACTCAGATGTTTAGTAGCACAATTCTGTTTTGGCCACAAAAAAGAATCTCTTTTCCCATTGGGTGATAATTCTGACAGCTCACAGATATGGTGCACTGTGTGAAGGCCCACACTCCAAAGGATCAGGTTTTGTCTCCTAATAGGAGGAATTAAAAAAAATTCAAAGGCACCTACATTATTCAGGGAGGGAGGGAGGGAGGGAGGGAGGAAGGAAGGAAGGAAGGAAGGAAGGAAGGAAGGAAGGAAGGAAGGAAGGAAGGAAGGAAGGAAGGAAGGCAGGCTTCAAATGATGATTTATAATAATCAAATAAAATAATAGTCACAAACATATCAGAAAATTGACAAGTTCAACTGAATTCCAAACAGAGATTCTGCTAAAATATATTAGAAATATTTCATTTTAGAATCTTTGCCTTTGTGCACACCTTCTCAACTTACTATCTTTGTGTGCAGATTATTCATATTTTCCCAGTGTCATTATCAGCTCTTATTGATCAGGCCTGATGTTTTGAAAAATATTTCAAAACCAAGCCTAACTCTGATATACTTTGGATTGCAGGTGAGAAGTGTATATCTGATATTCCCTATGATGCAACCACCAATTATGAAAAGGAGAATGATATGATGCAAACCCATGTCATTGACCAAGCTATTAATAATGCCATCAATTATCTAGGGGCAGAATCTTTGCGCCCTTTGGTGCAGACACCCCCTGGTGGCTCAGAAGGAGTGTCTGTCATCAGTCCAATGTATCAGCTTCACAAACCCCTTGGAGACAACCATGCTCGCGCCAATCATGCAGCTCAGGACAGTGCAGTGGAAAACTTACTGTTACTTTCTAAAACCAAGTCCATCTCTTCAGAAAGGGACCCTTCACCCAGCAACAGCGGCCAAGACTCCACCGATACCGAGAGCAATAATGAAGAACGTAGTGGTTTAATATACCTTACCAACCACATAGTGCCTCATGCACGGAATGGCCTCTCCATAAAAGAAGAACACAGGCAGTATGATGTCCTAAGAGGAAGCAATGACAGCTCCCAAGATGCTTTCAAAGTAATCAATGGCAATGGGGAGCAAGTAAAAGTCTACAGATGTGAACACTGTAGAATTCTTTTTCTAGACCATGTAATGTATACCATCCACATGGGTTGTCATGGGTTCCGCAATCCTTTTGAGTGTAATATGTGTGGCTATCACAGCCAGGATAGGTATGAGTTTTCTTCCCACATAACTCGAGGGGAACACCGCTTCCACATGAATTAAAACTTTTGCAGTACTTAGTATTTGGAGATACATGAATAGCAGCCATAAAGAAAAAGAAAAAACACGACCAGGATAGTAGTCAATAAAAATATACATCAGAAAGCTGGGCTGCCAGAAATGAGCTCTTCTTGTAGCATGCATACATGAGACAGTTTTATATTGATAATAGTGGTTTTTGCAAATGTAGGTAACCAAAAATGTTAGTGTAGTAAACAGAAATTTTTAGTTAAGTGAAAGAACCTTTTTCTCGCTAGCAAGTGCACTCCCACTGCCCCCACCTCCCATTTAAGGCTGTTAATTGTGCACACTCATCTCTGGCTGAAATGTAGAAAGATAAAATTAGCACATTTTTATGCAGATGTTTTGAAAATACACTTTTTACACCATAATTTTTTGTAATAATTTGGTGGTTCCTTAAATCAACAATCTAGACTTAGAACAGGTTAAAACCACTCATTTTTCTGCCTACCCTTTGTCTCAACAGAAACAATTTTTTTTTTTTGTAACCAATGCTCCAATCCCATGATTTAGTTAATGGAAGCAGAGTATGGCCAGAAGAATTTAAAGTTGTGTTGCTCTGAAAATAAAGCACCAATACTATTATGTTAATTGTAGATATCATTTTCATGAGTTATTCAAAGAAAAATCTACTTGCACCAATTAATTTGTGAAAGCATGAAGTGCTTTGCCCAAATGCAGATCTGTTAAGTAAAAATATCTTCAAGGACCAATCATTTAGTTTTAGTACAACTACAAACTGATCTTAAACCAATTCAGTGTAAATCAATTGCAAAGTCTGACTGGTGAAATATAAAAGAAAGCCTATTGTATAGTTTGAAACAATTACATATATGCTGTATTTTTATCTGTTCTTGCCTTATGGCAGAGCAGTATTCTGTTTCTCATGCAATTGAGTTTATAAAACAACTTGGAATCCTGACAAGGGACATAACAATGTTTTTTCTTCTTCTTAAAAACACATCATCATCACTTCTGCAACTTTTAGGCATAGAAGAAGGGAGAACATTTTATTAGGGCTATTGTGTGAAATTTCATGTTCACTTTGTTAAATATTGATGCTGGTAGCTTTTAGTCTTATTAGTTGAGGATCAATATTGATAAATAACATATAACAAACTATACATATTCAGTGTAGCCTGGTTTCATTTGATTCAGTTGCATAAGGCTGTTCATGCATATTCAAAATTTTTATGTAAAACATGCCCAATTAGGATAACACCTTTTTTATAGATCAATTTGGCACATTATTGATAAGTGGTCCATTTTATTCCTGATTGTAAAACTGATGATAAAGTCTCCACCAATACACTTTTTTGTTGTTTTGTGGTTTTAATGCTTCATCGGTTAGAAAATAGGAAAAGCTACAATGTTGAGATTATTTGAAGGAGATATTCTTTTGAAAAACTCAGTACAGAGGTACCTTGATACTCATCCTTAATTGGTTCCAGGAGGTGCAACAAGCATTAAAAAGATGAGGATCAAACAAATTATGTGACTTATCATGACATTTTGTTTTGGCCAGGAAGGACTTCTTATCTGTTCCTTTTTCCCATGTCAGTGACCTACTCAGCATGGCTGACTTCCTGTCTGCCCTCTGCAGCTGTCTCCCACTTCATTTTGCAGCAATTTTTCCGACTTTATGTTTTCTTTCTGCTGCTATCCCCCACTTTGCAGTGTGATGATCACCAACAAATGATGAATATCGGAACAACATTTTCTCATCAAAATGCGTCAAGTATCAATTCAATGAGTTTTAAGGCAGTCAAGTACTGAGGTACCACTGCACTATCAAGTTAAATCCTACCTGCAAACTCCATACTTTGTTCAGTTTGCACTTAAAGTGCATTTTTATTTTTATAATAGTTTTGTCTCTGTTCTTCAAGTTTACCAATTTTATATGCATCCATTTGATAACAGTGAAAGATTGTTCATATGTTATATAATTCAAGTTTGTCATGGGATATATGTTGAATAGGGAGTCACAACCACTTCAGGTACACTTTGATGCACTTCAATGACACATTTTTACCAAACATTTGTTATACTCTACACATTTTTAGTAAACATTTTAAAATAAGGAAGCATACACCTAAAGGTATTGCCCCTTCTAATTGGCCTCTTCTATATCTGGTTTTTAAATTTGTAATTTCTAAGAGTGGCTTTCACTGCTGAGCCTTCATTTCGATTCATCATTTTTCATAAGCACAAGCTGCCCACTACATTGCACACACTGATTTTTTCCCAAATGCATAGACTGATCTATGTTCACCTTCCTTGGCATTTGAGGCTTAGCTCCATTCACTGAACAAAATGGTCAACTTGTAGGTGAACATCAGTGCGATGATTAGGTAATCCTAAACAATTTTCTGTAGTCCACAAGACATAAGTATATTTAAAATTAATATACTTTGTCTTTGAATAGGTGTCAACTATTGTATGATCAGAGTTTATGGTGTTTCTTGTTCTAGTTTTTTCTTTTTAATATTGAAAGCAAATATACTTTAGGGAGGGATAATATTAGTGATCTACACTGTACTGACAATCGTTGGAATTGTCATATTTGCCACACTGCTGTTCAAAATAAGTCTTGTTTTGTTTGAAAATAAATGACGGCTTTTATTTTTATGTATAGTTTGATAAAATGATACTAATTTCTTTTGACAGGATGCCTCACTTCTGTAAATAGCAACTGATCAATGCTTTTGAGAGTTTACACTTCAGCTTTATTTTGGCACTTGCTTTTAAACTTGTATTACACACATTTTTGCTATAGTTTTATACTGTACTCCTAATAACTTTTTTTTGACCTATGTATTTAAAACACAATGAAGTGAATTTCATAAAAACTGTAACCTTTTGTCTGAAGGCAAAGATTAATCATTTAGAAATACAGAATATTTCTTCTAAGGAATAGAAAGTATAGCATGATAAGCAGTTTTCAGATTCTGGCTAAGTTGTATACATGTAACTGTGTTGAGGGAGGGAAGAAAGGGGAAATTACAAAGAAAAGGTAGCAATTTGTAAAGCAATTTGTAAAGACCCCAAGGGTCTTTTAATGCCAGAGAAGTATTGCAGTTTCTATAAGTAGTTAGAAGAATTAAACTGTTATTTTTGGCATATTTCTAAAATTTAATGGGCACTGCTACAAAATGCCCATTGAAGGAGGAGTCTTACAGAATAACTATCAACAAAAAGTAGTAAAAGGACTAATACAGCTTTTTGTAATTAAAACAGTGTTATTTAAAATGCAGTGTGGAACTACAGTTTAACTGTTGAACTGTTTTGACCAGAAATCAAAATTACTCCTGTTCAACACAGATCCCACAGCATTCATCCTTACCCTTTTACTGCTTTTTGTTGCAATAAGATTCATTATCATCTATTTTTTGTTTTATTAAGAACCGTTTCCTCTTAATTTAAGAAGAAAGAGGTAGGTCTTTGGTTATTCGGGTCTTCTCCCACGTAAAATTGGAAGTGTCTTGGCGACGTTTGGCAAATTTGCTCCTGGAAGCACGAAGCCGAGAACACCAGCCTGAAGATGACGAATGAGACTTCGTCGAAACGTCACCAAGACACCCCCAATTTTACGTGGGAGAAGACCCGAATAACCAAAGACCTACATACAAACACCCGCGAAAACCTGAGAAAACATATATATATGTATGTATGTATGTATGTATGTATGTATGTATGTGTGTGTGTGTGTGTGTGTGTGTGTGTATATATATATATATATATATATATATATATATATATATATATATATATATTACTCATGCCTTGCAAGAAAATGTTAATTGACATTTGAACTAATTTAAAGATAAACTAATGAGTTGCTCATCAGTTTCCTGTTTTGATTTCATGAAGCAATATAAGGGATTACATTCACGTAGAAAGCTAGTAATTAAAAATATAGTGGAGCTAAGAAGTCACTATTGCCTTTTGGTAAATCAATAGGAGACAAGAAGCCTAATAATCAAATAATACATTTAAAAGAAACAAGTGCACTAAATAATATGTTTGCAATAGTATCTAGGCGCTATACTTTGTAAATCTGAGTGAAAAAGGCAACAGTTTACATAAAGCATGAGGAATTTGGGATTTCAAATGCTACTGAATTAATATTTTCAGCAGGCCTTAGCTAATGATGAAAGATACTGAAACTAAAAATTTCATATCTATCTCCAGACTTCTTGCTTATAGGCAATTTTGAATATTCACACCTGATGTTGGAGCTTTGGTTCAGGTTAAGGATTTAGCTGATTTCTCATGCAGCTTTTGCATAAATTATCTGATGATAAGGATGCCTATACTGATAGTCATGACTAAAATCATGACCAAGTATGTCATGGAACTGTTCTAACATATCCTAAGTCAACACATATAGATGGCTCTATGACCTTTTTTCCAGATCTAAGCAAGAAGAGGGTAAAGTAGATGATCTAACATTTAGACTTATTATCATTCTTAAATCACTATCAGTTTAGGTGTAGATTTTCAGTTATTTCCTGCTTTATCAGGATAGGAAGAAATTAAAATAGACTCCATGGAGCAAATGGAACCTAACAATTTATATTATGCCTGGACAAATTATTGCTTTTCTCACTATTTATGCCAACATATCTGTCCTTATCCTGGCAGAAGTGTCTTACTCATTCATACCCAAATGGAGCCCTTAGAACAATCATATGGATTTATAGTCTGTGATACAGATGGATCAACTTGTGGAAAATTAGGTAGATTTTATACCTAAAGATTATTCTGTAGCTAAAGACAACTGCATTAGCTATCACCTTTTCAGATCAGGAAAGGCTTGGTATTTCTCACATTTTCTCACTGGATTACTAGAATGTGTTATAGTTCTATTTCCTTTAAAAACATCTCAAAAACTTCATTTAACCTTCAAATACTAATGGATACTGGCCCAAAAAATTATGGAACATAAATTCTTTGCCAGTTAATTGTCAGTTGCTGTTAAGTCCAACATTAGAATCCTGGTGCTTATTTTTGAAATCCTGAATTTGAGATCAAAGTGCTTTACAGCATATTTTATTCCATAGGCATCTGAACTTTGGTCATCTTTAAAGACCTTCTACAGATCCCACTATCAAATCTGTCTGATCTTGATGAATATAAATCATCAGGATCTTACTGATTACATCCTAGAATTCTGAAAGAGCTGGCAGAGGTTATCTCAGAACCATTGTATCGTTCCTTTCAAAAATTGTGGACCACTGGGGAACTACCAGAGGATTGGAAACGAGTTTATGTGGTTCCCTTTTTTTAAAAAAACGGGGGGAAACAGACCCAGAAAACTATAGACCAATCAACCTAATATCAATACCTGGAAAGATACTGGAAAAGATAATCAAAAAACAGATCTGCATACATGTAGAAACAAATAAAGTTATAACTAAAAGCCAGCACAGATTTCAGATCATGCCAAACCAATTTTATTTCATTCTTTGACAAATTAGTAGACCAACAAAATGCTGTGGGACGTAGTATACTTAGATTTCAGTAAAACATTCATCGAAGTAGATCATAAACTACTTCTTGGTAAACTAGAAAAATGTGGGATAGACAGCATCACCTGTCTATCCCGCATGGATTTGTAACTGGTGAAAAATCTGTACTCAACGAGTAGTCCTTAATGGCACTGCATCTACATGGAAGGAAGGAAGCAGTGAGGTACCACAAGGTTCCATCTTAGGCGCAGCACTCCTCAATATCTAGAAGATATTGGATTGGGTTAGGGTTTGGGTTGTATAAACAGAGGCATAGAATCAAAATCATGTGAATTATTAGTACCGCTTTATAAAGACTTTGAGAGATCACATCTGGAATACTGCTTCTACTTTTGTCATCACATTACAAAAAAGACTAGAAAAAGTGCAGAGAAAAGCAGCTAAATGATTAAAGAGACTGGAGATATGAAGAACAATTGCAGGATTTGGGTTTGGCTAGTCTAGAGAAAAGAAGGACTGGGGGGACATGATAGCAGTATTCCAGTATTTGAGGGGCTGACACAAAGAAGATGGGTTCAACTTATTTTCCAAAGCACCAAAGGGCTGGACAAGAAACAATGGATGGAAACTAATCGAGAAGCAACCTAGAATTAAGGAGAAACTTTATAACAGTGAGAATAATTAACCAGTGGAGCAAGCCTTCAGAATTTGTAGCTGCTTCATCATTGGAGGTTTTTAAGAAGAGACAGGAGAACCATTTGTTTGAAATAGTACAGGGTCTCTTGCTTGTGGAGGGAGTTGGACTAGAAGACCTCCAAGCTTTATTCTGAATTGGAAAAAAAAATTGAAAAAATTAAGAGACGCAAATGGCGACAGGATAGATTTTAGTTTTGGGATACATCTTTTGAAATGCTGTCTCCAGGGAGGCATTCCTAGCACCTATAATATTTGGTGTATTATTGGGCTAAGAAATATATCACAAGTATTTCAATAATATTGTAGCCATCTATATAAGGCTGAAATTAATCCTACTTATTGATTTCAGAAGTCTGCATTGTATTGAAGTGATAGCAGTTATCTGTTTAATCTATTTTCCTTAGCATTATTAATTATTGTATTGTTTAATAGTTTGTTTACAGTTTGGCTGGCACTCAGCATGTGGTCCTAATGGAACCATAAGAAGAGAAGCATACAGTGAGATCCTCAAGGTTCTTGAGTGCTCTTCAACTTCATAAATGACCTAGATGAAGGGATTGAAGGGGCACTCATCAAATTTGTGTATAACAAATCTAGGGGGAATTGCTAATGCTTTGGACTCAAGATTCAAAAGTCCTTTCTACTTAAATGGCAAAGCAGGATATAAATATGTATCAGTGTTATAGAATCAGTCTCCAAAAGAATCCACAGTCATGAATTCTTTGGGGACAGATGCTATGGGACTTTCTCATTTTGATATCCTCGATTTAAAAATGTAGTTATGTTCCAGTATGAATACTTCACAGATTCAGCTTGAAGTAGTACAGTTTCAACATACTTCATTACTTGTGATTTTTTTTTCACTCTAATTTTGGAACATTCAAGAACAAAATTAATTCAGCTTCATAGTCTGTTTGATTGTATTACTTTGCAATTTGGCACAATCCTATCTCTAACCATCCTGCTTATTTGATCAGAGAAATGATGCCTTTCTCTCTTCCTGCACCCTATATAGTTGTAAGTCTCTATGTTTCAACTGCCCACTCTTTGTGTAAAGCTTTTCCAAAACTCTGCTCTTCACAAAGCTGTTAACTACTATATTGGTTATGTAAATCATTAGAAATTCCAAATGCACAATTTTAGCAAGATGCATTGTATTAAAAACCTAAAGATCATAGAAGCAACAATTAATATCACATGGCAGAGCTTGCTGAAATATTATTCCCAGGAGCCCTTGCCAAAATTATCAGATTTCTGGAAATTATCAGTTTATAGTTAGACATAAATTTTCTCACATCCACATTGTTTAATGTCTAAATTATTGACTTTTAACATTCCTAAATATTGTTCATGCCTGCTCCTTTCAAATCTTTACTTAGCTGTTGTTCACTTAAAGATTCAGTTAAAACCTAATGGCTACGTGCAACAGCATAACATACTGAACACATATTGCTAGTTT